ACATCTTACATTTCTTTTCACACAATACGTCTCCTTGCAATATCAACACTAATTCGGCTGACTTTTATATTTGATCCAATTGGTAGATAGGCTGTACTTACACCATAAAGGTGCACAGCTGATATAAAGGGACACCTAGTGGTTAAAGCATGTTATTGAATTTCATTATTTTTATCATTAGATATTAATAGGATCCCTATAAAGTATATTAATTACTCGTTATTCTCTACTAATAGTTCATTAAAGACTGTATATAATGACTATTTTGCACATCCCTTTCAAGATTTCAAGATTTTCTAAGGTTTATTGACATATCATATAGGCCTACACAACTATGGTGTAGTTCTGCATTGAATGAAAAACTTGGGTCGCAGGTTCCTCAATAGTGCATTACAAGACATCTATCAATATTTGTGCATACCTCCAGCAATGTTAACTATGTTGAAGCACTTATTTTAACTGATATTATACATAATGTATTATACTCTTATAAGATGTATATAGATATTTCATCTCCGGCCTTGTCAGGTATTGAACAATCAATAAATAAAGAACACAGAATTGTTGAATATAAAACACAGAATTTGTGTGATTATACTAAATGATTTACAAATAAACACCACTGCATATTTAACTGTTACACATGCTGATGTAACGCAAATGTTCCAACTTGAGATCAATAAAGTATATCTTATCTTAAGCTGATCGATGGCTATACTGCCATATTTGCAAAATGTGCCTCTGAACCTTAACAAGTGCATGTTTCAGGCTTATCAATTAATGTAATGTAATGTTATCAATTAACAACAGGGGTCACAAACATAAGACCAGCTGTTAAATAAAGCTCTTCTGACCTTAGCTGGCATGTGTATATATATATTAATGCTGCCCATTATGGGCACAAGCAATTTTCACCCATTTATTAATTATATGTTTTAAATGTGAGTGTTTCCTATCCCCTAAACCTCCAGGGATGTACACAGTTTAATACTGGCAACTTCTTATTATGGGAAATACGAAAACGTCTTTTAAAACTACAACTCCCAGTAGAGACGTGCCATAGATAGAGAACATGTTGCGAAACAGAATAGCCAGCATGTGTAGTTCTGGGGACAGGGTGGGGGAGGGGGGACGCGGTGGACCCGTTCAAATCCAGTTTTGGACAGTCTGACGTGGTTCCATCCCATTTCAAGTGCTGTTCGAGGCTCGGCGTAACCCTCGGAGCACACTCTCCAATCACAGAGCTTGAGGACTATCACGGGGTTTGTCAAACAGAGCACATGGTGTAGTCCAAACGATAGCTGGGGATTCTGGGTAGTGTAGTGTCTTCTGCTATCTTTTACTCCGAAAACATATTTGTTTCTCCGAATCGAAGGGGAAAAATACAAAAGCATTGTACACAATTTAAACCAATCAATGTTGTGTAATTAACAAGGATACTCTGGTGTTTTTTAGTCGATGAGTAGTGCAGATATCACTGTAAAATCAATCGACAGTAAGAGGAATACTTACTTCCGGGTGTACAATTCTCCGTTATCCAATGAGAATGGACGCTCACATTGCCTTTAAGGGCAGTCGACACAAACGAACGCCGTGCTTCCATGAGCGTCCATAGAAGCATATGGACATCCCGGAAAGCTGAAAATGGACGCTAAGGCCCCCCCCCCTTGCGTTGGAAAAAGCCGACAGGGGACTTGACATAACGTCAACATAGGCCGACCTGGGAGTGAGGATGTGTTGACTGTAACCCAGCTTCTATGAGTATTGGCGCAGCCCTCTAAGCGCTGGGCCCCACTGGCTCTACGAATAGCTGAAGAAAAGTTATATTGTATGGGAGCAGATTGCCGGGCACCCTTCCTATTTATACCGGAAGGAGGCCCGAGGGTGGGGCCCACCTGGCGGGTGGGCGTGGACTACAAGTGTTTCAGTGCTGCGCGGGGGCGCAAAGGGATAACCCAATAGCGATAGCCTTAGAGGGCTGCGCCAATACTCATAGAAGCTGGGTTACAGTAGGTAACCTCAGTTATGCCGTGTTATTCATGCCCTCCAAAAAGGAAATCATACCGTTTCCAAACCTAACTGTGCCGTACAAATCATTGAAATGTCTGTTTTGGCTTGACGCTGTGCACGCTCCCGCGAGGTGCAGCAGCCATGCATAACACGGCGCATGTGAACCGTCAACATGACGGGCAGCGAAAAAGTCTAGCGCAACCTCTGATATGTATATACAGTAATAGGGAAGAATTGAATGCACAGTTAACACCAGAGTACTTAAATAGCTCAACACTTTAATTCAGTGAGGTTTTGAATGCAGGATGTTTACTGGGTTATTTTCACTCAGTAATATTCATGTTTTTATTTCAATAACTTTGTTGAGCTCTGTTTATATCTCACTGAACAGAGTCCCTGGATGTGAACTGGTTCAGCTTGTAAGGCTGGTTATGAAACAAAGGGAGGAGCTGCAGACAGGGAGGGAAGTTGAAAGTGAAAATAATAAGACAGACTTGTCAGACTGCCAGACGCCATTTTACAGCTGGACGGAGCCGGAGGAGAACAACAGGGTGAGTGCTAACACCAGGATCTGCTTTAAACACATTCATTATTTACTCTGTCAGACTGATAACAAAACTTATTTGTTAAAAACCAGCGTCCTAGAGTCCAATGAGACTTCTGCAAACTCTGTTCATTTCCTGTTTGCTGATCCATCAGAGTTACAGAACATGTGAAGCTCTGCAGTCAAAATGGAGGCCGGCCTGAAGTCTGACTGATTTGATGTGTTTAACCCAGTTTATTACTATGATGGTTTGGATTGAAAAAAGCGTGTTATTATAATGTGTGTGTGTGTGTGTGCTGTTGTGCTCTAAGTGTGTGGGTGTAGTTTTCTGTTTGTCCACTTGATGGTAGTCCAAGCTCAGTGTTCTCCTCAAGTCTTTTCTGTGATCTCCACCTGAGCGATGAACAGAGGTGGAAGAAATACTCAGATCTTGTACTTGAGTAACAGTAGAAGTACTCAGATCTTGTACTTGATTAAAGTAGAAGTACTCAGATCTTGTACTTGAGTAAAAGTAGAAGTACTCAGGTCTTGTTCTTGAGTAACAGTAGAAGTACTCAGATCTTGTACTTGAGTAACAGTGGAAGTACTCAGATCTTGTACTTGAGTAAAAGTAGAAGTACTCAGATCTTGTACTTGAGTAAAAGTAGAAGTACTCAGATCTTGTTCTTGAGTAACAGTAGAAGTACTCAGATCTTGTACTTGAGTAACAGCAGCAGTACTCAGATCTTGTACTTGTGTTAAAGTAGAAGTACTCAAATCTTGTACTTGTGTTAAAGTAGAAGTACTCAGATCTTGTACTTGAGTAACAGCAGAAGTACTCAGATCTTGTACTTGAGTAACAGTAGAAGTACTCAGATCTTGTACTTGAGTAAAAGTAGAAGTACTCAGATCTTGTACTTGAGTAAAAGTAGAAGTACTCAGGTCTTGTTCTTGAGTAACAGTAGAAGTACTCAGATCTTGTACTTGAGTAACAGTAGAAGTACTCAGATCTTGTACTTGAGTAAAAGTAGAAGTACTCAGATCTTGTACTTGAGTAAAAGTAGAAGTACTCAGATCTTGTACTTGAGTAACAGTGGAAGTACTCAGATCTTGTACTTGAGTAAAAGTAGAAGTACTCAGATCTTGTACTTGAGTAAAAGTAGAAGTACTCAGGTATTGTACTTGAGTAAAAGTAGAAGTACTCAGGTCTTGTACTTGAGTAAAAGTATAAGTACTCAGATCTTGTACTTGAGTAACAGTAGAAGTACTCAGATCTTGTACTTGAGTAAAAGTAGAAGTACTCAGATCTTGTACTTGAGTAACAGTAGAAGTACTCAGATCTTGTACTTGTGTTAAAGTAGAAGTACTCAGATCTTGTACTTGTGTTAAAGTAGAAGTACTCAGATCTTGTACTTGTGTTAAAGTTGAAGTACTCAGATCTTGTACTTGAGTAACAGCAGCAGTACTCAGATCTTGTACTTGTGTTAAAGTAGAAGTACTCAGATCTTGTACTTGTGTTAAAGTAGAAGTACTCAGATCTTGTACTTGAGTAACAGCAGAAGTACTCAGATCTTGTTCTTGAGTAACAGTAGAAGTACTCAGATCTTGTACTTGAGTAAAAGTAGAAGTACTCACATCTTGTACTTGAGTAAAAGTAGAAGTACTCAGGTCTTGTTCTTGAGTAACAGTAGAAGTACTCAGATCTTGTACTTGAGTAACAGTAGAAGTACTCAGATCTTGTACTTGAGTAAAAGTAGAAGTACTCAGATCTTGTACTTGAGTAAAAGTAGAAGTACTCAGGTCTTGTTCTTGAGTAACAGTAGAAGTACTCAGATCTTGTACTTGAGTAACAGTAGAAATACTCAGATCTTGTACTTGAGTAAAAGTAGAAGTACTCAGGTATTGTACTTGAGTAAAAGTAGAAGTACTCAGGTCTTGTACTTGAGTAAAAGTAGAAGTACTCAGATCTTGTACTTGAGTAACAGTAGAAGTACTCAGATCTTGTACTTGAGTAAAAGTAGAAGTACTCAGATCTTGTACTTGAGTAAAAGTAGAAGTACTCAGGTCTTGTTCTTGAGTAACAGTAGAAGTACTCAGATCTTGTACTTGAGTAACAGTAGAAGTACTCAGATCTTGTACTTGAGTAAAAGTAGAAGTACTCAGATCTTGTACTTGAGTAAAAGTAGAAGTACTCAGGTCTTGTTCTTGAGTAACAGTAGAAGTACTCAGATCTTGTACTTGAGTAAAAGTAGAAGTACTCAGGTATTGTACTTGAGTAAAAGTAGAAGTACTCAGGTCTTGTACTTGAGTAAAAGTAGAAGTACTCAGATCTTGTACTTGAGTAACAGTAGAAGTACTCAGATCTTGTACTTGAGTAAAAGTAGAAGTACTCAGATCTTGTACTTGTGTTAAAGTAGAAGTACTCAGATCTTGTACTTGAGTAACAGCAGAAGTACTCAGATCTTGTAGTAGAAGTACTCAGATCGTGTACTTGAGTAACAGTAGAAATACTCAGATCATGTACTTGAGTAAAAGTAGAAGTACTCAGATCTTGTACTTGTTAGCTAAAACTACTGATTACAGAACTGGAAACACAGACTAAAGGTAATGTATATATATGTGTGACGGTGGAGAGAGAGACTGCTAAGGACAAACTCAATTTACAGTTGAGTTCATCATGTGCAGGAAGATAAACAAAATGGTGAGGATAACATCGGTCCAGCTCAGGCATCAATGGTTTACTTTGTATTTGATGTTTTATTTGTTCAATGGTGGATTAGAACTTTGAAATCATTAGAAATACATTAAAGAAATGTGTTTTGGTGCCAATAACAAAAAAGTCCTATCATCTCAAGTCCTAAACATATATATATATATATATATATATATATATATATATATATATATATATATATATATATATATATATATATATATATATTAGGGAATAATTGAATGCTCAGTTAACACTAGAGTACTTAAATACCTACACACTTTAACTGCAGTGAGGTTTTGAACGCAGGATGTTTACTGGGTTATTTTCACTCTGTGGTTTTAATACATTTATTTCAATAACTTTGTTGAGCTCTGTTTCTATCCCACTGAACAGAGTCCCTGGATGTGAACTGGTTCAGCTGGTAAGGCTGGTTACGAAACAAAGGGAGGAGCTGCAGACAGGTGAAGGAGTTAAAGTCCAAGTTTGAAGTCAGACTGATGCCATTTTACAGCTGGACGGAGCCGGAGGAGAACAGGGTGAGTGCTAACACCAGGATCTGCTTTAAACACATTATTTACTCTGTCAGACTGATAACAAAACTTCTTTGTTAAAAACCAGCGTCCTAGAGTCCAATGAGACTTCTGCAAACTCTGTTCATTTCCTGATCCATCAGAGTTACATAACATGTGCAGCTCTGCAGTCAAAATGGAGGCCGGCCTGAAGTCTGACTGATTTGATTTTTTTAAACCAAGTTTATTACTATGATGGTTTGGATTGAAAAAAGCGTGTTATCATAATGTGTGTGTGTGTGTGTGTGTGTCTCAGACTGGAGAAGATGAGTGCTTTAAAAGACGAGGAAGAGGACACACCTTCAGTCTCCGGCTGTCTCTCTCTGAAGAGTGACTGGTCTAAAGAATGGTTTGAAGACTTCAGAAATGAACCTGGACCCTCAGACACAAAGTAAGAGTTTCTGCTGTAACCTGACCTGAAGAGGATTCAGCTTTTAGAGTAAAAGTACTCAGATCTTGTACTTGAGTAACAGTAGAAGTACTCAGATCTTGTACTTTAGTAAAAGTAGAAGTACTCAGATCTTGTACTTGAGTAAAAGTAGAAGTACTCAGATCTTGTACTTGAGTAAAAGTAGAAGTACTCAGATATTGTTCTTGAGTAAAAGTAGAAGTACTCAGATATTGTACTTGAGTAAAATTAGAAGTACTCAGATCTGGTACTTCAGTAAAAGTAGAAGTACTCAGATCTTGTACTTTAATAAAAGTAGAAGTACTCAGGTCTTGTACTTGTTAGCTAAAACTAATGATTGTGTGTGTGTGTGTGTGTGTGTGTGTGTGTGTGTGTGTGTGTGTGTGTGTGTGTGTGTGGTGTGTGTGTGTGTGTGTGTGTGTGTGTGTGTGTGTGTGTGGTGTGTGTGTGTGTGTGTGTGTGTGTGTGTGTGTGTGTGTGTGTGTGTGTGTGTGTGTGTGTGTGTGTGTGTGTGTGTGTGTGTGTGTGGTGTGTGTGTGTGTGTGTGTGTGTGTGTGTGTGTGTGTGTGTGTGTGTGTGTGTGTGTGTGTGTGTGTGTGTGTGTGTGTGTGTGTGTGTGTGTGTGTGTGTGTGTGTGTGTGTGTGTGTGTGTGTGTGTGTGTGTGTGTGTGTGTGTGTGTGTGTGTGTGTGTGTGTGTGTGTGTGTGTGTGTGTGTGTGTGTGTGTGTGTGTGTGTGTGTGTGTGTGTGTGTGTGTGTGTTCCTGCTGTGTGTCTCAGCATGGCGCAGCTGCGTGCTTTCACAGATGAGGAACGAGGCCCGCTCTTCCGTCTCCGGCTGTCTCTCTCTGAAGAGTGACCGGTCTAAAGAATGGTTTGAAGACTTCAGAAATGAACCTGGACCCTCGGACACAAAGTAAGAGTTTCTGCTGTAAACTGACCTGAAGAGGATTCAGCTTTTATACAACCTAATATATTAAGGACATTTCAATATACAATTATATTGTTTCATTTCATTTTTATTTGTCCCGCTCATGGTACGCATAAACCAAATACGTACAATAATTGCCAACAAAACATGTCTCTACAAACACCATTGAGCGAAAAGGAGCAGGGAGAAGAATACAATCTTATATGCCCCGCCCCTTTCTAAACAAAATGAATACAAATAGATGGTCTGCCCTTCATAATAACAAAAACAAATGTTCACAGCCAAACATAACAGTACACCCTCATCTGAGTCCTACTGGAGAATAAGGTGGAAAGCGGCGCATAATAATAATACTACTAATAATAATAATAATAACAATAATAACAACAATAACAACACCAATAACAATGGGACCTGCAAAAAAGAATGGACATCACATCAAAGACATCAAAATTATTTAGCAATGCAGGACCAAAGTACATAGACTTATTCACATTCTGCTTCATATAGTCCCATCTTTCTTAATTTATACAATTTATTTAACTGAAAAGTACATATACAATTCTTTAGATCCTTTTGTTGAGAATTCCACGATTGTACACCAAATACCGAAATACACATTTGCTTAACCCTTAAGAGTCCCTGGGGCCATTTTCAGCCATTCAGGTTTTCAAGCCATTTTGGCTGTGTTGAATGAATATTGCTCAAACTTGCCAGAGGATATTCTTTTTTAGTTGTATATTGAATTGTCGTCTCAGTTTATTTAATTAGCCTAAAATGGCTAAGATACACAAAAAACGACAGATTAGTTCCTAGCGGAAAAAAAATGCCCCATTGACACAGAAGAGGCCACGGAGGACGCCTCAGAGGTGGGAACAGACCAGCTAGAGTCCAACTCAGACTCATCTGAAACTGAGAGCGGAGGGGAGTTGGAAGAAGCAGCTGCAGGATGGACTTGAAAAAATGTTTTGGTCTCCCACAAACAGAGACGCTCCGCTACGTCCCAGCAGCCAGAAGTTTGATCCTGGGACCAACACACTATGCTGTCGCCCGAATCAGTGACCCGGCATCCAGCTTTGCACTGCTGCTGACAGATGACATCCTGCAGCATATTGTGTCCATGACAAACCTGCATGGGAGACGGTCAATTGCAGAGTGGCGAGATATGGACACAGAGGAACTGCAGGCTTACGTGGGGCTGCTCATTTTGGTCGGTGTTTACAGATCAAAAAATGAATCGACCCTCAGCCTCTGGAGTGAGAAATTGGGACGGAGCATTTTCCGAGCCACGATGTCCCACAAGAGGTTTCACCAAATCAGCCGAACACTGCGGTTCGACGACAAGCTATCCCGACCGCGGCGCCGTGATGACAAGCTGGCTGCCTTCCGCAAAGTCTTGGATATGTGGACGCACCGCCTGCCGATGCTGTTCAGCCCATTCAGCGACGTCTGCGTGGATGAACAGCTCGTCCCATTCAGAGGCAGGTGCAGCTTCAAGCAGTACATGCCAAAAAAGCCGGCCAAATACGGGATAAAGATTTGGGCAAACTGTGATGTAAAATCATCCTCCGCCTGGAGACTGCAGGTGTATACAGGCCAAGCAGCTGGCAGTGGTCCTGAAGTCAACCAGGGGATGAGGGTGGTCCTGGAGATGACAGAGGGGCTCCAGGGACACATCATTACCTGTGACAATGTGTTCACGTCCTTCGCACTGGCTGAGGAGCTGCTCAGGAGAAAACTGGCCCTGGTTGGCACAATTCGCCCAAACAAGCCTGAGCTTCCCCCTATTTTGCTTCAGGCAAGAGCGAGAGCGATCCTCTCCTCCACCTTTGCCTTTCCGAAGACCCACACACTGGTCTCTTACATCCCTCGACGGGGCAGGAATGTGCTGCTTCTCAGCACGAAACACCGCAGTCCAGACGTAAGCGACGAAATGAAGAGAAAGCCAGTCATAATCAAAGACTACAACCGATGCAAAGGAGGTGTCGACAACCTTGATAAGGTAGGCACACATGTATTCTTACTAGGGCCGGGACTTTAACGCGTTAATTAAGATTAATTAATCACACAAAAATTAACGCGTTAAAAAAATTAACGCATTTTAATCGCACTTATTTTTGCACCGCGGAACGTTTCTCACTGGATGAGTTTCAGGCGTACCGATTATACTGGAGCACCAACTAACGTTCATGACTTCAGACAACAACAAACCACAGTGAACAACAGTGGGAAATGTTGTTTTAAAAAACGGACGGATGGAAGCGTCGATAAGAGCACGGTTGTGTGCAAATTATGCAAAAAGGAATTCGCATATCACCGCAGCACATCAAGCCTCAAGTATCACCTCAATGCAAAACATATAGCAGCTAGCGTGGAAGCTAGCGTGGACGCTAGCCTCTTTTATCGCGTTCACACCAAAAAGAGCCGGTACTAAAATGAGTTCATGAGAACCTTTTTACCCCCACGAAAGTCCCTGCTAGAGAGCAGAGAGCTGCTAGAGAGCAGGGACTTTCGTACGGCTCTCTTGTGAGAAAAGAGCTATATTTCTGATTGGCTGGGCGGATTGCAAACCACGCCCCGTAAAACTCCCAAAAAGTTTTGTGAAGCCGCCATTTTATTATCCTCGCATTAGCATTATTAGCATTAGCCCAGCGCAGAAACGCAGAGAGACTAACTTATGGCAACACACAATAAAACATGGGAGCGGTGGAGATGAGGAGGTGTCGGCGTTCTGGCGATTTACTCGGAAGGCTGCTGGGACTCCCAGCAGCTTCTACTGAAGCCTTCCCCAACTCCGGGGACTTCCGGCCGGGGACTTTGGGCGGCAGTATACGCCGTGAAGTGGTTTGCGGCCTGCCAGTAAACCCAAAGCAGAAGAAGAACAAGTGACGTCAGCGGCTTCATTTGACTAATCCACCCCCAGGTTCAAAGACTTCTCATGAACTAAGTTCTCATGAACCTTTGTGGGAAAAGTACTGCGGTGTGAATGCGCCTAATGGTATACTAAAATCCATGTGAAAAAAATTGCTTCTCACTGTTCTTAGGTCAAATATTTATATGTGATTAAAAATGCGATTAATTTCGATTAATTAATTACAAAGCCTCTAATTAATTAGATTAATTTTTTTAATCGAGTCCCGGCCCTAATTCTTACTCTTATATTCTTGTCTGAAATATATGTAGGTTTTTTTCAAAGAGCATTTTCCTATAAAATAATTCATATTTGCATCATGAGAGAAAATGCTTGGCATCATTTATTCAAATTGTCTTGTTTTATGTTTTTGTTAGGTTGTTGCCACAGGAGGAGAACAAATCGCTGGCCACTTGCCCTCTTCCACAACCTGGTTGACATTTCTCATTACAACGCCTACGTCCTGTGGACATCAATGGAGCCATCCTGGCAGCAGCAGAAACCATACAGGAGGGAAGAGGTGGGAGAAATGCTGGCGACCCCACACATCAAGAAGAGAGGGCTGCTCATCAGCCGCTGCAACAATGGTGTCAGATCTGCAGGGTGCTGCTGCAGGCCCCTCTCTCATCAGTGAACGGAAGAGCTAGGAGCCACTTTTGCATGGACAGAAGAGTTTGCAGCACCTGCTGCAAATGTGGGAAATGCATATGCAAGGGCCACAGTCTGTCCATTTGCAGCCCCTGCTCCACCTGAGCTGGACTCTCACAGCCAGACACACAGTGTTCATTCAATGTTCATCTTTGTAAAATAAATGTTTTTCTGGTTCAAAATGATTCATTTTAGTCAGGCTGGAGTAGCTTTAAAAGATTTACTCTTTGAAAGTGGGAAAAAATATGAATATATCATATTTTTATAGCAGTTTTTGTGATGGTGGCATTTTCTGGCCTCAGGAACACGAGTGTGAGTTTTTGTTTAAATCTGACACTGCAAAAAAAATAACAATGCATTCAAATACATTTTGCTGCCAATCATTGACTAATATAGGGACCTAATAATAACAATAATCAAATATTCCTTGAAATGTATTTTTGGAAAATTATTCTAGTTTTTTTCAATAAAAAAACTGGAGTTTTTTCAACAAACTGGCATTTCAAGGGTTAAAATCCCAAAAATATAATTCATTTTTCATATGTGTATGTCAGGCTGGAGTAGTTTTAAAAGACTCACTCTTTGAAAGTGGAAATAAATATGAATATATCATATTTTTATAGCAGTTTTTGTGAAGGTGGCATTTTATAGCCTTAGGAACAAATACGTTTTGTTTTTTAAGGGACTCTTAAGGGTTAAGAGTAGTCCTTGCATATGGATGCTTAAAGTTTAATTTCCTTCTGTGGTCTTCCTTGTCTGATCCAAAAACAAACAACTGTTGTAAACATGCTGGTAACATTCTGCTCTTTGCCCTGTGCATTACTGATAATGTCTGCAGCTCAGCTCTTGAGTTTCAAGAGTCCTGACTTAACAAACAGTCTGTTGGTGTGTTCTCTCGAGTCAGCTTTATGAATTCTTCTTACTGCCCTTTTCTGTAATATTGATAATGGCTTTATGTTGCTCATATACGTGTTGCCCCACACTTCTATACAATAAATGAAAAATGGCAAAATGAGTGAACAGTACAACATCCTCAATGCCTTGTAATCTAGCAAATACTTTGCCTTGTTTAGAACAGAAATATTCCTGGACACTTTGGTTTTAACATGTGCTATGTGTGTGATGTCAGGTTTTCATCCAGCGTCACACCAAGAATCAAAATTCAGAAACCCTTTCAATAAAAACTCCATCAATGGACAGTGAAATGTTTTCATCTTTTTTGCTATGAGCAAAAACCATAAACTTTGTTTTATTCAAATTTAGAGTTAACTTATTTTCATCAAACCATCTTTTAAGTTTGACCATTTCATGTCCAATACACTTTGCTAACATGTTGAAATCATCTCCTGAACTAAAGAAATTGGTGTCATCTGCAAACAACACAAATTGCAATAATGTTGACGTTTCACATGTCATTGATGTACAAAATAAAAAGTTTAGGCCCTAAAACCGAGCCCTTTGGGACACATTCTATGTTCATACACTCCGATGTACTACCAGCACATTTTACATATTGTTGTCTGTTATCTAAATAACTTTTTAACCAATCTAGAACTACTATTAATAGGTAATGGTCCATGGTGTCAAATGCCTTTTTTAAGTCAATAAATACACCTATTGTGTATTTCTTTCTTTCTATAGCTGTTGTAATTTCAGATATAACAGAGTTTTGTGAGATTACATGTAGAGTCAATGCAAAGACCCAGATCTGTGCCTGGCAACACGAAGGAAGTGAAGATGTGAAATTCATGTCACCTGCGTAATCGTGCAGAGTGACACATTTAATCTTGAGTGTAAAGTTTGTGACGCTCTGCCCATTGGAGAGAATCAGCTCCACTAATGCAAAGTGCTATAAAGAATGTGTTCATCTCCACAGAGGGAAGAGGAGAAGTGCTGCCAGTCAGACCAGAACTGTACGAGGTAAGAGGAACTCATGCAGCGCTTTATTCCTCTTTGTGAAGCTGACCGTTGAGCGGCCCGACCAAGCCAGGAGGCAGAGAGTTCAAATATAACCCGGTGTGGGCATTTATTAAATCATGGGCACATGATTCACAGCCTCAATATGACTGTTACCAGTGCACACAGTCACCAGCAACAAGGATCTCACACACACCAACAGGAAAATATAATAGATAATCTCCTCTCACACATCCCTGAAACTGGCCCTCCCGCTGTACTTCTCGGAGACTTCAACCTCCAGACGGGGAAGATAGACGAACTAACATCTCTGTTAACCGCCTTTGCTTTCTCACTGTCTCCGTCCCCACCGACTCATAAAGCTGGCAATGTCCTTGATCTCATATTCTCAAGGAACTGCGCTACTTCTAACCTCTCTGTAAACCCGCTCCACACATCCGATCACTTCTTCATTTCATTCTCTCTATCCCTTTCCAAACATAACAAACTAATCTCTTCTCATCCTGCACTTGTCCGCCGTAACCTTCGCTCCCTCTCCCCCTCTACCTTTGCCTCATCGGTGCTCTCAGCCCTCCCTTCCTCGGACTCGTTCCAACTCCTACCTCCAAACTCTGCTGCAGAAACTCTCCTCTCTACTCTCTCATCCTCTCTGGACTCTCTCTGTCCTCTCACATCTCGGCAGGCTCGTCAGTCCCCTCCTGCTCCCTGGCTAAATGATGCACTGCGTGCTAATAGAACCGTCCTTCGGGCAGCAGAGCTGAAAACAGTGGAAATCCAAACACCGTGACGACCTCCTAACCTATCAGGCTCTCCTCTCCTCTTTCTCTGCTTCGATCTCTCAGGCAAAAAGCACTTTCTTTCAAGATAAGATCCAATCTTCCTATTCCAATCCTAAAAAACTATTTTCCATCTTCTCCACCCTCTTGGACCCTCCAAAAGCTCCTCCCCCCTCCTCACTTCTGTCAAGCGACTTTGTTACCCACTTTGAAAAAAAGGTTGATGATATTCGCTCTTCTTTTTCTGACTCACCTTTACTCACCGCTGGGTCACCAGACCTTCCTTCCACCAACACACTAACCTCCTTTTCCCCTCTCTCTCCAAGTGAGGTTCTTACTGTAGAAGTTGTCAATACTTCTTAATACATGCATGTGTGTATGTAGAAGGAATACACAATGCATAGAATATTTATGACCACAGCATGTACAGTGAACCTGTACGTTGCATGCGACTAACAACTGAATGCCTATTACCTTAACACGTCACCGTGTGACGCACCAGCTACGGTGGCCTGCAAAGGACAAACTTAATCATATGAGAATGATCTACATCCCTTCTCTTTAGCTGATGTTTCTATCTGAAAGTAAATAACATTTAAGGCAGATGATATTGAACATTCCTTTAGCATTTGGTGACACAAACAATAAACCATTACTAAATACCTTACCAGGTAACAGGAAAAAGGAAATGACTAAACATATCACTTTAACAAGATTGTCCAACAGTGTTACTGCACATATTTAGGGTTTGGTTTGCATGTGCGACCTGATCGTGTTATGTATGGTGTGTCACTGTTGTTGCAAGGGAAATGTGATGTGTGTCTTGATAGTGAAGGGGAACTGTTCTGTGTCAGCCTGCTGTTTCTCTCAGGTGTGTGTGGTGTGTGGGGTACACGGTCCATCATAGAGGGGTCGGTGTTGTGAGGGTCGAAATCTTGAGGCTGCTGTTGCTGGGGCGACGGCTCGGGAACAGGAATGATGTGACGACGATTCCGTCTGTATGAAGTCCCGTTGGCTTGGATTATGTAAGAGCGTGGTTTCTCGCTCACTTCCTTGACAACGCCAAGCCGATCATATCCTTTTGGGGTCTGCATCCTGATCACTTGTCCCTCTGCCAGGGGTTTCAGAGGAGAACTTGAGATGTCATAGTGGCGCTTTAGGATGAGCCGCTTGTTGAGGAGTTGTGTTCTGATTAGTTGTGCATCTTTTGGATTTGGCTGTAACAGTTTGGTGCTCACTGGGATGGCTGCACGTGTTTGTCGCGACATCAGGCGTTCAGCAGGAGAGCCTAACGTCAGATCACGGGGAATGTTTCTGAGATTTATCAGGTTGAGGAAGACATCTGTGCCATCTCTGTGTGAACGTTCCATCAACTGTTTTGTACTGCGGACTGCTCTCTCTGCTAGTCCGTTTGACTGTGGGTATTCAGGACTGCTGGTGATGTGAACAAAGTCCCACTGTTTTGCAAAGTCCTTGAAATGTTGACTGGCGTACTGTCCAGCATTATCAGAGATGAGTGTGTGGTGTGCCGAAAACAGAGAAATGTCTCTTCAATTTAGTTATCACAGTTGATGAGGTCACATCCCGGAGAAGGTCGCTTTCAAACCAGCCAGAGTACGAGTCAACCAGCACCTGATACCGTTTTCCATGCCACTCGAAGATGTCTGTTGCCACTGTGGACCATGGGAGATCTGGCACAGGATGAAGCTGGAGGGGCTCCTTTTGCTGATGGGATCTGGTGCTGTTGCACACTGCACATGAAAGCAACTCCTCAGTGATGTCTCTAGACATTTCTGGCCAAAAGATGATGCTTCTTGCTCTGCGTTTGGTTGCTTCAATGCCGGAGTGTCCTCTGTGCACTATTTTGATGTACTCTCTGTGCAGGGACTGAGGAATGACAGTTTTATGGCCTTTCATGACAATTCCCTCTTCTACTGTCATTTCATCTCTGTAGGGAAAGAAGAGACGGACAGCAGGTTGGAGCTGATTCTGTCGGATGGGCCATCCTCTATTAATGACTGCACTGAGGGCTTGCAGATCTTCGTCCTCTGCTGTGTGCTTTCTGAGTTCTTCCAGGCGGGCTGTGGAGATGTAGCTCACAGACATAACTTCATAAGCATCATTTTCAGCAGGGCTTTGAGATGTTTGTGCGGTTGGGGCACGTGAAAGAGTGTCTGCTACATACATATACTTGCCCTTTTTGTACACCAAACTGATGTCGTAGCTCTGTAGCCGGAGCAACATTCTCTGCAGGCGGGCAGGGGCTGTGTGGATGGGCTTCTTTAAGATAGTCACTAAAGGTTGGTGGTCAGTCTCCACCACTACAGGCTTTCCAAACACATAGTCTTTGAATTTTGTACAGGCAAACACGACAGCTAGCAGTTCTTTTTCAATTTGTGCATACCTCGTCTCTGTGTCAGTGAGGGTGCGTGATGCAAACGCTACTGGCCTGCCATCTTGCATGCACGCTGCTCCAAGTCCGTAGCATGACGCATCACAGGTGAGCGTGACTGGTCTTTTGCTGATACCTTCTGCTAGAAACAGGTCTCACTGCATCAACACTGGTAGCTTGAATGGCTAACGTCCTGCTGCTTTCCTCTGTCATTTCGTGTATACGGCAGACTGAAACAGCTTTAGCAAGTGTCAGTTCACTGTCTCTCAACAGAGTTTTTCTTAAAGAATCATTGATTATGCCACATACTATTCTGTCACAGATTAGTTCCTCAGCTAAATCTCCAAAATGGCAACTCTTAGCTTTTATCTTCAGATCGCTGATGAATGACTCAATGCTCTCACATTGCTTCTGATTTCTTGAATGAAACTTGTGCCTTTCCATTATTTTGTTATGTTGAGGGTTGCATATTTCACTGAATTTCCGTATCAAACAGTCCGGGTCCTCCCTTGATTCAGCTGGGGAGATCACCGCACCGTCGGGGCCTGGCGCGCGCACTTCAGCTGCATACATAAAGGATCGTTCACGTTCAATGGCTTCTGGTCCAGCGAGATTGAGCAGGATGTGAGCCTTAGTCCTGGCAGCCTTGTCTGGGTGCGCTGCGGCGATGAATATTTCATATTCCCTCTCGAAGATCCGCCAGCTCTCCGCGACGTTTCCATCAAACGTAACAGGGTCCGGACGGCGAAATCCATCCGCCATTGTAGCTGGGGCTAGCTTCAGCCAGCTAGTTAGCGTTAGCACGGTCCGTGGAAAAAAAATTCTCCAGACGAGAGGAGAGGCTCGTGCCGTCTTCTGACACCATGTAGAAGTTGTCAATACTTCTTAATACATGCATGTGTGTATGTACAAGGAATACACAATGCATAGGCAAGTGGTGGCTTTATTTACAGCATGTACAGTGAACATGTACGTTGCATGCCGACTAACAACTGAATGCCTATTACCTTAACACGTCACCGTCAGTCTCAAGGAGGCAAGAGTAAACCCTCTCCTAAAGAAACCCACTCTCAACCCGTCTGATGTTATAAACTACAGGCCTGTCTCTCTCCTCCCGTTCCTGTCTAAAACACTTGAACGCGCTGTCTTTAAACAACTCTCCTGTTATCCCAGTTTCCCTCTGCGCTTCGCACTGAGAGTTTTTAACTCATTCTCTATTTTATCAGGCTCTTCAGCCATCATGACATCATTTCCTTGTCCTTAGGATAACACTTTATCAATTATTTTGATCGTTCAATCCGCACTTTAATCCAAACATTGCGTCGTCACAAACATTTCTCTCTGCTCCATTCCGTTTCCTTTTATCTTGGCAGGCATCCAGCATATATCCACATCCCGATCATGTTTAATGTCTTTCTTCTGGCTTAAGAGTTCATCTCATTCCTAATATTAGTCCATTTACTCACTGTTCTTGATCCGTCCTTTGTTTACTCGCGGCCCTCCGCATGGCTCAACAGCTGATTGTTGCGCAATCCTTACGCTCTGTCCACGGAGTATCCTTTTTCCATTCACAAATCACAAAACCGGGATTCCAGTCAGCGATGCGTCTTTAACATCAGTTATTCCAGCGGTCCAGAGTCTTTGACTATGTCGTGGCCCATTCTTGTGGCATATCTAAAACTGTACCACGTCAACAGGGATCCGCTTCTTGACTCACACGTTAAAAACCATCCAAATAAAGCTCTGTAGTCGCTGATTTCTTTGCCTTCCTCGGCCGATTTATTTACTTCCATATATTTAAACAAACAAAATAAACAAAACGATCAGTGTAACGT